TTATTGCCTCCTTCCAGGAAGGAGGTATATTGTTGTTTTTTATGATCCAGTTAAATGTAGTGTGCATCAGTGGCAACAATTCTTTAGAAATTTTTTTGTACCATTCTGATGGAAATCCATCACTTCCTGGTGTTTTATTTGATTTCAGTTTCCCTATCGTTTTAAGGATTTCCTCTGCAGATATTTCTGCCGTTAAAAGTTGATTTTGTTTTGCACCTATTGAAGGTAGATCCAAAGAATTAAGATATGCTTTTATGTCATTTTGACTAGTGGTAGATTGTTCAGTGTAAAGTTCCATATAGTATTCTTTGAAAGTATCTTCAATTTCTTTTGGTTCACATTTGATTTGATTTGTTTCTGGGTCATGTAGTTTGTTTACTGTTAAATCTGTCTGCTGTTTTCTTAGACGTCTAGCTAGCAGCTTTAAAGCTTTAGGACCTGAATCATAACAATTTTGTCTTAGATATCTTGCTTTTGTCTCAGTTTCATATTGAAGCAGTTGATCAATTTTCTTTCTAAGCTCTTTAATTTTATGTTTTGTTTCTTGTTCTGGTTTTTCTTTATAGCTTTTTTCATATTGTTTTAATTCTGTTACAAGTGTCTTGTACTTGTTTTCTTGTTCCTTTTTAAGGTTGGTAGTGATTGCAATTACCTTTCCTCTTATCACTGCCTTTAATGCGTCCCATGTTATGACTGGGTTTGTTTCTCCGTTATTGTTTTCTTCCAGATACATACTAATTTCATGTTTAATTTGTTCAACCACAGACTTGTTATTGAGTATTCCCACGTTGAATCTCCAAACCGTATTTCTCTGCCTACAATTAAGTTTAATCTTTAGGAATATGGCATTGTGATCAGATACATCCGCCACTCCAATCTGACATTCTTCAATAATTTCTTTATACTCTTTCTGCATAAAAAAAGTAATCGATTCTGGAGTAAACAGAATGTGTTGTTGAGTAATGGCTAAAATCTCTCTGTTGAGGATGCATATCTCTCCATACATCAAAAAATCCCATTTCTTCCCAGCTATTTTTGACTAACTTTGATATAGATCTTTTATTTTTCTTTATACTGGTAGTGTCCAAGTCACAGTCCATTATTACATTGAGATCTCCTCCACATATACATATGCCCTTTGCCGTTAGTGCAATAATATTAAACAAGAGTTTAAAAAACTCACTACCACTTTCAGGTGGGGCATATATGTTTACCAGTGTTACCATTGTTTCACCTATTGTTCCTCTAACAATAATATAACGCCCCTCCTTATCTTTAATCTCCTTTTGACATTCAAATTTAATTGAATTGCTCATTAATATAGCTACTCCTCTTTTACGAGTATTAGAGTGAGAACTGTAGAAAGTATTCCTAAACCCAAACCTCTTTAATTTCTCATGTTCTATTTTTGATAGATGTGTTTCTTGTAGGAAGTTTATCTGTGTCTTTTCTTTTTTCAGTTTGGTCATAATTTTAGCTCTTTTGACTGGGTTTCCCAAACCATTGACATTTAAAGACATAAATTTAAGCTCCTGTCTCATATTCATTGCTTGTTTTAGTTTCATTGCCTTTGTTGTCACTCCTCAGGCTTTTGATGGGATATTTGTGAACAGAAAACACCTTGAACTCTTCATCAGAACAGTCTATAACTATATAGAAAGAAAATGACCTCCACATAGAGATATCAACACGCTTTGTTGTATGATGAATCTCTTTCAGTCTTGAGGGGGAAAGCCTCCCACACTGGAAGGGCCCCTGTCTAGTAAAGAAAACCAGCCCACAAGGGGTTAATCTTCCCATACTAGTCCTTCGGCTGTATTTCTGTCCCTTTCAAGCCAAACATCCAGATTTACTTAGCCCTCTGCCGTGGCCTCCACTTCATATCCTCTCCTCCGTAGCTCGTTAGTTGCCTCCTCTGCACTGCTGTATGTTCTCAGTCCACTTGCCCAGTGAATCCAGATCCTATTTAGCGGTGTCTGGAAACAGATGCCCTCCGCCTTCAGGATCTTTGTTATGTTTACATACTTTTTGCGCTGCTGCAGCATCCTCACCGAGTAATCGTGATCGAAGTAGATCCGGTTTCCCCCGAGTGTTATTGTTTTCTTCTCCCATGCCTTCTTCAAAACATTCTCCTTCACCGTGAACTGTTGAAAGTTTATGATGATGGATCGCGGAGGTTGTCCTGCCTTTGGTTTAGGGGCCAGAGCTCTATGGGCGCGCTGTATCTGTAGATCTGAGTTCAGGGCGAGCTCCTCCCGCAGCAAGCCTCTCACAAACTGATCCACCGAGCCGCTTTCTAGCTCCGTGCCCTCCGGTATGCCATACACCCGCAGATTATTTCTTCTCGATCTCGACTCTAAGTCATCTAGTTTGTCCATGATCCTCTTTTGCTCCTTGATCATGTGCTCTATGGCGCCGTTTGCCTCAGAGCTCCATGACTCCATTTCTTCCGTGCGCGTCAGAACATCTTCTAGCTTCTCATTTTGCGTTCCTATTTCCGCATTTATTTTGTCGAATTTCTTATCAATGTCTTCTTTGAGTTCTGTCATCTCTTTTCTTATCTGGGTGGTAATTTCATCCCTGAAAGCTCTCAAGTCCGTTTTCAGCTCACTTTGCATCATTTGGATCTGCTGGCTGATACCATCCAGGCTGCTCGGAAAGGAGGCTGCGCTGTTGTTAGCTTCGGGAGCTAGCATGCTTCTCTCTTTAGCCAGGCACTTCTTCTCTTAATCTTGAGCGTCCGTGGCTTTTTTGGTCTTTGTCCTTGTTGATCCTCCGCTCATATTAACAGAAACTGAGTACTTGCAATTTAGTATGTCGACTTTTAGTGGAGTTTATTCTTTGGCTTTAGGCAGCTGACGATTTAGACGTCCATATTGTTAGCCCCACCTACCGGAAGTCGGCTTTTACCATCTTTGTTGTTTTCCCTGGACATAAACCTGTCAAACCAATGTTCTTCACGCCGTCCTCCCTCTGTATTGCAGCTGCAGCAGTGTTGCACTTCTTTTTAAAAACGCGTATCCAGTTCTAGTGCGGTGAGAAACACAGCCCTCCGCTTCCCCGTTGCCATGGTAACTCGTCAAATCGGGGCTCCATTGATGCTGGCTTTTTATAGTTGTGGTGCACATGCTTAACTCCAGGTGAAACTACTATGAGTTGATTAAACTAACTCAAATCCGCCGTTCTGGAACCGGAGAGTTTCCAATCTCAGAGTAAATCAACTCAGAGTTCAGGATTAGACTAAGAATTTGTTGAACCTGCTTCGTGAAATGGACCCCAGATGATGGCAGAATGGAAAAGCTCTGTAGGAATGAAAAGAATCCTAACCAAGCTGATTGGTGGCAAAATGAGTAAAACGCTGAATTCGTATTTTTACCACTAGTCTACATGGTTTCGAATCCTCTCACCGGGCTTGAAAAATCCGTGTTTTTTATTTTGGCCAGCACGTTTCGTTTTGCTGTCTGTAGATGATATTGACATGGATTTAGACTTTATTGCCGAGTAATGTTAAGTTTTTCGGCGAGGTCTTGACAGACAGGTCTGGTCGGGACGAATATGCGAATGGAACATCTCGAGAGTAAATTCAGCAAACATCAACAGTTAAACTGGAACACCGGGTTTTTACGAAGGACGAAAAGTGGTTCAAGTAAAAATAAATGCAGATATAAATGATTAAATTAATACATAAAAATATCGATGTTTTGCAAACTAACAAGGACACTGTTAAATGCATATCCTGAATTTATTTTCACATTTCAATACATCAGCTTTTTTTTCGACGTCTCTGCTTCTGCATTTCTTCATTTGATTCTTTGTGTCCACATTTCTATTAATTTCTGTTTGAATCCTCTAGGATTAATCGACCAGATGGCAATTATTAAATTAATGACCAACTATTTTTATAACTGATTAATTGGTTTTAGGTTTGTTTGTTTTTTTTATGTATAAATTCTGTAATCTCAGTTTCTTAAATGTGAATATTTTCAGGATTCTTTCCTCCTCTGTGACAGTGAACTGAATATCTTTGGGTTGTGGACAAAACATTTTCATTTAGAGACCAAACAACAGATGGATTTTAGGAGAACCCCCCCACAATGAATAAATATTTGGTTGAAGCCATTTTTGGATTTGTTAACTTCATTCGTAAGCTGATTGTCAGCTGGACGAACCATACAGAAGCAAACGATTTCAACCGAATCTACATGATACCAGCTAACTTTGCTAACTATCCAATTTCAACCTCTCAGTG